AAATTAGCATTTGGATTAATTTACATTAATTGATGACTAAAATTTAAAAATACCTGAAAGATCAAACAATCTGGCCCAGGGCTCTCGTGGGGGTTGGGGGTGGAGAGGAGAAGAGGTCCTTTACGAAAGTGAACTGATGATGCCCTGAGGTCAGCTCCAGTAAACTGAAGTCATAAAGACAGAAAATAACCAGGAGATTTCAGTATTACAAAGAAATGGTTCCTCCTAAAAACAGGTACTAGATCACATAGTTGGGGTGAAGGCAGGGGAAGGGGGGATGTAATTGTTTTCTCACATGAGGCAAACTTCAGCCAAACAATGAGAAGTAAGGAGGGAGGGAAGGATGTGGTAGACCCCAGACTTTCTGATTGCTAATAATACCAAGTTTAGCAGCTCTCTACAAGTCAAATAAAATACCAATTCTCTTACACATTTTCATAGAGGAGCTAACACACCACCAGGGAAAAATCATTCTACGTTAACAAGGCACTCACTGGTTCACAGCCTGTTAAAAACCCAGGCAGACGTTAGAGTTAATCTAAATTAAAATGAACTTTCTAATTTGCATCAGAGTGATGATAAGCATGTGGTCCCAGTTAAATCAAATCTAAAGCTTGACTACCAAAGATCCAAAACTGTCTGACCCCTAAGCACATCTTCGGGCATAGCAGGGTCTAGAGATCGCTGCTTGGCCTAACATTTGCATTTTTTAGATTAGAAAAAAGAGTAACTGATGCAAAGGATCTGCTAAATACTTTGTCAATCTGGTGTTCCTTACAGAGACATAAAGATCAGCTGGATGAAGGATATGGCCAATTTAAAAGCTTTTAACACTTCCGAATGACCTATCCTTGTTTTAAAATACAGGTATGTAAAGTTTTCTGGATCTTTCCCTAAAGGGAGAACTTGAGGAATTGATACATTTCATGAAAATATACATGTAATTTCTGTCAGCTATTTCTCTTGTACAACCTAACTTCCAGTGTCAAACACTTAAAAGTACTGCAATTATATAAATTACTAAAAAGAGTAACGGAGGCAAGTTCTGAGTAAATAAAATGAATGATAACGAACTTAATAGTTTTGAAATATCTTTCAAAGAATTACATAAGCTGCATAAAATTATACCTAGAAGTCTATTTTTTCACTCAACTCAGTAACAGTTTGGCTCTTGGTTGAAATTATCACACGGACATATGCCAATTAGAGATTGTCTCCACTAAGCAAATCTTCCAAAGGAAACCAAAATTAATTCTTAGTTTTTCCATCTGATTTGTGACATCTTGAGCCCAGTAAAAATTTGACAAAAGCCTGAGAAAAGCACCAACATAGATTGTTAAATTGTATCCAACCATCTTTTCAGATGTCATAAAGATTTGCTTCTGTTAAAATGGCAGCAATGACAAAGAGGTAGATATGAAAGATGCCATTTAAATATTTTTTTAAATTACTCTTAGGTGGAATTTTAACTAGTTCAAGTGTTTAATCTAAAAACAGTTTTTACTAGCTGACTCTTCATCATAGAAGAATCTCATGACATGCTCTTGTGTGAGGGAGACATATACATGAAGTACTAAAAAAAGTGAGCCTTCAAAAAATTACATTTAGGCCAGTTAATGAGATCCCATAATTTTGGTGAACTAATAATTTCTTCTTTTACTCAAACCTGACTACAATTAAAGAATAGTTATTTTTCCTGTACTGAAATTTCTAGGAATTCACATTCAAAATTCTTGAAAATGTATTCAGAAGAGCACAAAGTGCAGGAAATGTCCCCTGAAGTCCTAGAAGTTGGGCTGCTACACTAAAAGACATTGATGGTCATAAATCAGGACCTTCACAGATTGGCAGACACTCATCCACGCACACACTCTCACTCTCACCCCTGCCCGCCCGCCACACAAACTCGGACCCTCATCCTCACTGTAAGGCTGTGTTTGTACTTTTTTTTAAAGGCACCTCTCATTCTCTAGCTATTGCCTTTTAATGATATTTGTTTTGTTAAAAAGCCTGAATATTCAATGGAAATAGTTCAGTACTAAGAATGGATTACTTTTCAATTCACATTTGGATAGCCAGGTTTTCTTACATTCAGATTTTAATAAACTAGAATGACAGTCTTTAAAACAAGCATGCTAGCCTATAATTGAATATAGTATATACAGCAATTTAAACATTTATAACTATATATTATACTGCAAAAGCAAACAGCACAACACTCATCATACTCATCATTATCCGTTGCGTACACTACCTCCCAAAAATGACAATACAAAACAGTAAAATGCACCTATGGTTTTATATATATATGTGTATATATATGTGTGTGTGTGTGTGTGTGTATATATATATAAATATATATACACATATATAGTCTATATATATATATTATATATATATTTATATATATATAATATATATTTATAAAATATACATACATTTTAGACATTTTCAAATAAATCTTCATAATTATCTCCAAAAGAAATTTATAGCAAGAATACTGAAGGAATGAAAGTCAGATAAACAAAAAAATTTCACAAAGTTCATCATCAGTGATGCAGCTCAATCTTCCCCTTTTAGTCGTACTAAAATGATTATAAAAGCTAAATACTTTGCATAACTAATTGTCTGGTTAATGGCAAAAATTGCTAAACTTGTTCAATAGAAAAATACTGAAGGTCATTGTATCACTACGTTAAACATCTGTCTATGGTTTGAGTAGCAAATGAGCTCCCTATGACAGCTGGGTTGTGAGAAGGGGGCTGAAAGCCCCCAAAGCTGTATCATAGCATATGAAAAAATAAGGCAGGGACCCACACCTCCTGCTGTTTTTCATATTATTTTAATATGGGTCATCCACAATATTTACAAATCAAGCAATATGAAAGCATTTTAATGACTGATTCTCGAATTTGTTTATTCTGTAATTTGCATTTTCAGTAGGCTGGGAAAAAAGTCAGACACGTGTATATGCCACTATCTGATTGGAAGACAGCTTTGGCTCATTGCTAAGCTGAGACCATACAGCTCTCGTGGATAAGACTCTGGATAGTCTCCAATGGCACAGAACTGGCTTTCTAAGGAACTTTCAACAGTTCCATCATTTGCACTACAGTCTACTTAATCTCATGGTTATTTTCCATTCACTAAAAGAAGGATTCCAACCATGAGACATAAAATGCAGGGGAAGAGAACCTTAGTTTAAAGAACGTAATGACATAAACAAAGCAGGCACTAAAGACCCTGGAAGGCAATTAAAGCAATAACTGGTAGAACAATAGCTTTGTGGTCATCCATTATAAATATACTAAATGAGGGCGCCTGACTAGAATTTGCCAGTATCCTTTTGCAAATGTTAGGTAGCACCCTTCCTTTACCCTGTGAAGAACCAAAAGAGGAATTTACTGAACACAATGTGGAATTCTGTATCTTCGTGGGAATGTCAACATTCACCTGATAGCTCTTGTCTAGGTCAATTCAACTGATTACACAAAGGAGTCTCTTGAGCCCACTGTTAACCAAAGCACAGATGAAATGAAAAGATAGCTGTGTCAAAATACTACAGCATATCTGTATAACAAGCAGACAAATGAGCACAGGTGTTTAGCTTAAAAGAAAATTTGCCTGTATACTGTCGAATTCAAGATGCAGACAAGTAGAAATTTTAAATAAATATTGTCAATTATTATCTACATCACCACCAGAATATGTCAAGGTATAAATGTACATGTCATCAGAGGTGTCACTAATATGACAATGGAGTATGTGGGGAAAGGAATGCAGGAATTATTTTAATGGGTTAAAGCATACATGGATATAATTTTTTTTTTTTAAGTCTGAGAGCCTCATGCATGAAAAGGTGGGCATTAATCATTTATTTCTACCTTATAGATTGGCTTCTGTCCTTTCGGGCAAACAAGAGAAAGGGTATGAGAAGAGTGATAGTTGTAGGGTTCAGGTCTGTTATGACAGGAGACCAGGTCCAGGTCATAGGAAGCCCAAGAGCTGGCCAGTTGTGGGCCATAGGCCAGGTGGACTCAGGGAAGCCTGGTCCTTCCAGATCTGCTTTTTTCCCCAGAAATAATATTTATTCACAGCTCATAAAAACATATTTTATATTCCAATTAAACCAATGAAAGAGGGAGCAAATGAGACTTTTAGCCAATCTTATGCACTGAACCTTCCACCCACATTTCCAGGAGCTTTTTTTTTTCCTTAGAGATATTAATAGAGGACTCCAGAGTACAAAACATTTGCTTTGTTGAGTATTCCTGCAAAAGCAGCTGGCTGAGGTTAACCTTACTCTTTGGACTGTTAAAACATAGTAATTATAAACTATCATAGGGTTGCTATGAGTCAGAATTGACTTGATGGCCATTTTTTGGTTTTATTTCTGGTAGGTGCCACATAATATGGACATGAGAGACAAAAAAGAAAGAAAAGAGAACCTCGAAAGCATGGTTATGTGAGTGCTGGTAACAAGTTAGCAAATAACTAACTTCTGCTTTTTCAGTCATCAAAAGGTCAGATTTCATTGATATGAAAGAATCACTATGGTACTGTAAATATAACATGAACAAAAGTGAATTTTAAAAATAATAGAAATTATTATAGAGCTATGTATGCCCTGCTTATCGACAGAAATAAAGAGAATCTCAAACCTCAAGTTAAATCCTTTAGTAAATGCAGACTGTATCAATTATTCTTCATAATGGTGAGTATTTGATGAGAGCAAAACTTTAGAATGGACCAAATCTATTTTCCAAAAGGTAATATAATAAAGAAATCTGCCTGCAAAGTAAATATTTGTTTAGTATTTCTGAATAATAAAATATTTAACATATTATTGCAGGTTTTTTCCCCCCTAAAAGGTAAAATGCCAGTTGCTTTATGAGAACAGCTGAAAGGAGACTTAAATTAAAAACTCTTTTTAATACTGCTTGGCAAGTACGCCAAAGGGGTTAGGAGAACAGATATGGCAGATTACTGTGTTAACTACCTAATGTGTTTAACAAGATTTCTCAGGGGAGAAGTTTTCATTCTTCTTCTACTCATCCCCAGCCATCAAGCTCTTTAACTATCGCATATACAGTGCCCTATTTACTCAACAGGGACAAACCAAACTTATTCGCACAGGCCGGCCTAGCGAATTGGAACCACCTCAGAGAAACGTGCCCATTTAGGAGAAATTAGAAAGAGTTTTGAGGCTCACAAATTCAGCTGAGCTTGCAGCAACCTGAACAAATCCTAGTTTTAGAAAACAGTATATGAATTGCAAAACTATACTTTAACAAATGTTCTCTGTGCTCCTTCGGCAGAACAAAAGGGCAAGACGAGGTGACTCCTGGCCTGGGTCTTCTGTATTTCTTTTGTGCAGCTGATTAAAAGAGCTAGAAGGTGAAGATGATGCATTGTGTCATACAAAGACTTTAGCCAGTGCATCAGCTCCAGCACTGGCTATATAGCATTTGGATGGGTGGAAAGCTACATCATGAATTGATTCTTCAAACTTTTTCCGATGAGCTGTGAACTCCTGGATACACGTCTTACTTTCTAGGTTCCATAAACGGATTGAACAGTCATGACCTATACCAAAAGAAAGGAAATTTAAAGGAAAAAATTATATTGACATGAAAATTATAAGGAAAAATGAATAATCCACAGTTGATGTACTTACTGCCAGACATCAAGTACAGGCCATTTGGATCAACTGCCAAACTTGTAACAGCTTCTAAGTGGGCTACCATCGAATGGATCAATTTGCCTTTAGGGGAGAAAAAAAAGAGTATTACTCTTTACTAATGACATTCCTCATCCTGAATAGACACCAGTTACCATGTTACAGTGGTTTCTCTAGTCACCCTGCTCTGTGTACTTAACTGCATCAACAGCTATCTCCATCAGCTGAAATAACGCATGCTTCCCTCCCACCTCTCCTCCTGGCAGTGATAAAGAACAGAAGCTCAATTTGTAGATTATATTTTTGTCTTTAAACCATGATATGGGTAATCAGTAATGTATACACAAACAGACCCTCAACCATGTTCATTCATTTCAAGTTGGACATTATTAATCAACTATTTCACATGCATTCGTTACAGGTAAATTATACAGGTTGTGGGAACAGAATTTAAATTCACAGAAAGACGGGACTGAGAAATACAAAGGAATAGAGAGGAAATCTGCCCACGATTTTGGTGGAAATGCTATATAGGAATAAAAATATTAAATTACTCATCTTTACTAACAGCTAAGCAGAGTCAGGAAAAGCTAACATGTTTACAAAGCCAACAGGAACTGCCCATGTAAGCATGCTACTAATACAAGGTGCTCTCCTCCTTGCACAGCTCGTCATGAGCATCCTCTAGACTGGTGGGCTATCATCCAAAAAAACTGGGAGAATCCATGGCCCAATTCAGATCACTCAAGACCAAACAGAGAAGATTCCAAAACCAAACTCACTGCCATCAAGTCAATTCTGACTCATAATGACCCCCACTGGGTTTCTGAAGCAGTCAGTCTTTATAGAAGTAGATTGCCCCATTTTCCTTCCGCAGAGCGGCTAGAAGGTTTGAGCTGCTAACCTTGGTTAGCAGTCAAATGCCTTAGGCACTGCACCATCAGAGCTCCTTAACAGAGACAATTAGCCCATGGAAGAACAAAGGAAATAAACCAAACAACCCAGGAGTTTTCCATGTCACACTACAGCTATTCAATAACTTAACAATTTTAAACAAAAAATATAATGATCACATGCCTCTACTTCTAACATGTTTCTACTTTCTGGCAATATATTCATAGCAATCAATCATTTTTTATTAGCATTTGAATGATTTTTTTAAAACTGATTCCCTAATAATAACTTTAGCACCAAGGCCTAAATACAGCATCTACTCAATATTACATAAGCCAAGATGACTCTATATAATGAAGACTAGTTCCCAGCAGCTCTGGTAGCATAGTGGCTAAGACACTTGCCCGCTAACCAGACGGCTGGCGGTTCAAACCCACCAGCCACTCCTCGGAAGGAAGGTTGGGCAATCCTACTTCCGTAGTGATACTGCCTCGGAAACCCAAGGAGGGGTCGCTATGAGTCGGGGCCGACTCGACGGCACATAACAACAACAACAACAACAGTTCCCAGCAGGCCTGGATGGAATGAACAGAAACTGAGCTGGCAGAGTGTCTGGGTTTCGGTGTTCACTCCCCATAACCATGAAGCTTGTGATGAATACCAAACTCAGCCTACTTATAGTGATAAATGTTTTGCTTTAACAATAATAAAATTTAATGAATTCTCACCTGTATTGTTATCAAAGAATTTAATGTGTCTGTCTTCATGAGCAGTGATGCTGATAGGAAGAGTGGGATGACTGATGACTCTATTAATCTGACAGGAAGTAGTAGTTGCTAAAAAGAAAACATTAAAGAGCAACACAAATGAGTACAGCTACTATTCTTTACACAAAAGAGAAATGAACACTCACCTAACAGACTGAAAAAGTAAATGATGGGACTTTGTCTTTAGCTCCTTTATCCTGTGATTGTTTCCACAATTTCAGTGCAAGGAAATGAGAACCATCTGAACTATACCACACTGACTAATCTAAAGGCACTGAACAATGAAAATTTCCTGTTTCACTACCTGTCATCAAAGGGTGTCAACTATGGTTGACTTAGCCTAGAGCCTCTGACATTTTTCATTCTCCAACATTCTGTGATGTTTCTGCTACTTTAATACTTAATTGAACACATATTACTTACATGCAGGTAATCCTCAAATTTAAATCTCAATTCTTTCCACACACAGAACTCTATCACATAGTTATTATCCAAAGATAAACATAACAAGAGTTTCTTAACCCTTAAATTTTCTTTCTTATTCACCTCATTATAATTTGACAGTCCAACAGGTTTAGAATCTTAAAGAGTCAGCATTCTAATAGTATCCTATATATGCACAGTATTTAGTAGTTTTCAAAGAGATTTCAATTAAGTTCATCATGAGGCAGGTAGGACACTTGTCATTAGGCCCATATCACAGGGAATGAACCAAGGTCCAGAAAAAAATGTGACTTCTTCCAAATCAAGTGAAAAAGCTCATTCCTAGTTCCTCCTCTTCTAACTATCCCAACTAACTGCTGCTGTTGTTAATTGCTACTGAGTCAGCCTCAACTCATGGACCCCTCCTGTACAATGGAATTAGAGTGCTATGCTCCCCAGGGGTTTTCATTGGCTGATTATTCAGAAATAGTTGGCCAGGTCTTTCTTCCTAGTCAGTCTTCATCTGGCAGCTCTGCTGAAACTTGTTTACCATTACAGCAACCCAGAAGCCTCCACTGGCAGATGGGTGGTGGCTGTGCACAAGACGCACTGAAACCACATCTGGCCCCTCTCAACTAGGCATCTCATAAAAATGAGCCATTGCAAAAGCCGGCACCTAAACTACCACAAGTTCCTCCTGAGTTTTATCAAAAGGAAATCAATAATTAGTAACAAATTTAATTAGTGATTTCTGTTAAGATACTTTTTTTTTTTTGGAGTTCCATCTTTAAAAACTAAACAGGCATTTTGGACAACACATTCTTGGCAAAGGAGCCTGGACAACATTTATCAGACATGGTAGGGAAAGTTCTCACTCTGCATTATAAAAAAGGACAGCCAGATATCAACTGCTACAGAAATGAAATAAGATGGAAAATTTTAACTGTTTAAACTATTTTTTTAAAGAGACTTCCTCCACTGCCAGAGATCTTGAATAGCCTCCTGGTCAGTCATCCGGAAGCAATTCTTCACATAATTGATGAATTTGGCTTCCACTTTGGGAAGAGAACCACCTTTTTCTATACTTGCTTGCTTTAATGTCTTCTACAGAACTAGAAATTATAGAACAATATCACTAATATCACATGCAAGTAAGATATTACTGAAGATAATTCAGAAACGTTTGCAGCAGTATATTGATAGAGAAC